ATGGAAAAATCTGATTTGGTGGTAGTGCTTGTGAAAAGGGTCTTCGAAAAGAAGTTCAGTAGTATCCAAATCATGGGGGTTAATAATTCTAATGTCTTCTGTGTCGGTCAGCCTCCTCATTGAATATCAGCTCTGGTTCTGTTAAGAAACCTCCAAACAAACTGGAACAAGTTTGTTCAGAGAAGACAAGAGCCTAGAGTTGAGTCTTAGTGGGACCCCTTTTCCTCTGCCTTTTGCTTGCTCTGCTTGCGTCTGTGTGTGTTTCCTTCCTTTCCCAGCCATGAATGAGCTTCCTCAGTGGAGTTACCTGGTTAGAGCACTCTTGACTGGGCTTCTCCGTCAATAGCAGGATGTGCGAAGCTGCTTAAAGCTCACCTGAACAACAACTGGCCATCTTTGCTGGAGGTGGCAAAGGATGCTGTTACTGGAACTGGGGGAGTTTAGACTGTACTGTGTAGGGTTGGTGGTGTCCAGATTTGAGTATCAAATGGAATTGCATGTCTGAAAATAATTGTTTGAATAAATTGGATCACAAGGAGGAAAAGGGCACACAGAACAAAAAATAATGTTCAAAATATCTAGAATAACTTAGAAATAAAATGCACAATATTTTGTTAACTCAGAAAAGTAAAATGGTCATATAACATACACTAAAGAGATATAATGACCAATAGGCTCTGTCAATCTATTTTACACTACTGTGTTTAATCAATAATTCATTAATTTAAATGTTGCTAGATATTCTTGGTTGTCTCCTGATGCTCAGAAAATGTTTTGAGCTTCTCTGTGTGATATAAGCATGACTGAATGGGAACTTGGCTGGAGCAAAGCTCCTGATGTCTGCATTGCAGAATTTCTCAAGCTTTTGTCTAAATGCTGGGATTTGACAAATTACAAGGCAGAAAATCTCAGTTTGCCCAGTTTGATTTCCTGAGTTACCCTCTGTGCAGCTTGAAAAGCGAACGTGGTTTTGATCCTCCTGCAACATTCCCAGGTCTGAGCAAATGGCAGCATATTCCAAGGGTGGTGAAAATGAAGCAAAAGTTTTCATTCGAACAATACTTTACGTTCTATGGTGGTCTATGACCGAAATAGAATTGATTGATTGATTGATTGTTACTTTACGATCAGGCGATGGCTCCAGAGCCTCAGAGGCCTGGAAAGGAAACACCTGAGCAGAACCTCTTCATCACTGCATCCCAGTCACCTTCTTCCTGAGAGAGAAACCCTTTTCCATTCCTCAAAACACCTTTCCAACCCTGGAAGTTGGTTAAGGAAGTTTATAGGAGCTACATGCTAAACGCCAATTATTAGCAAACATACAAACATCACACAGTATAAAGAAACTGATTTTCAGGGTAGAAGGATGCACCTTGTTTCCAGCACAGGGTTGGTTCTGGCATTAAATGCCTAAGATTTTTGTAACTCCATCCCTGAGCAGGGAGCAACTAAGGCACTCGCTAGAGAACCAGACTAGCCACTGTGCCCTAGTATTTTCACTTGAAACCTGGCTTGGGCTCCCAGGATTGGAGGCCCCTCAAAACTCTGTGAGAAAGGAGGAGAGTAGAAATTGAGTTTCGGGGTCCCTGGGACCAAGGGCAGCCATTGCCCGGAGTACAAACCTGCCCCCTCAAGCAAGGTAAGACTCCTCCAGCAGGAACAGGTGCTTCCTCCCATTCCCAGGGGACCAGGGTGGTTGCAAAGAGAGCCCCCAAACTTGGGGAAGAGCTTAGGTGATGACTTCTCCATTGGTAACCCTCCAGAGCTTTCCTCACCATTTCTTCCATTTTGTTCCTAGGAAAAGTATCCATGACTAAGGGAAGGATGGAATAACTTCACAGGGCCTTTTGAAGGCCATCTGGGAATATCCCTGCAAAGATATAGAAGACAGGAGATTCTTCATAGCAAGTAGCCCTGCCTCCCCGCCCCCCCGCCCCAGTTTTGTCTTTTGACTAAGTACAATAAATAATGTGTTGTTCACTTGGGCTACTGAAATACTACAGTGTTGGAAGCCATGAATCTTACTACACTGAAGCAACAGGTGGCAAAAAAGGTCAGTCTCTGCCTCTTTATTTCAATATTTATTTATTTATTTATTCATCATATTTATATAGCCGCCCATCTCACAAAATATATATATTAAAAAATCAACAATTTAAAAATTAATATTGCAGTTAAAAAGGCAAGGAGAGAGTGACAGATATTATCAACAGTGGAGCCACCTCAACAACTCACCGGTCCCCTGCGGCCCCCAAGCCTCACGACATAACCAAGTCTTGAGGGACTTGCGAAAAGTTAACAGGGATGGAGCCAGCCTGACCTCGGGGGTGGGGATGATGCTCCACAGGGCGGGTGCTACAGCAGAAGAGGCCATCTCCAGAATCCTGCCAGATGTAGCTCTTTAGCAGACGGGACCCACAACACGCCTCTCCTGCCAGATTTGATGGGACAGGCAGATGTAACGGGAGAGGTGGTCCCTCAAATAAGCTGCTCCATGCCATGAAGGGCTTTAAAGGTCAAAACCAGCACCTTGAATTGGACCTAGAAGCAAACTGGCAACCAATGCAGCTCACAGAGCAGAGGTATAACGTGTGCTGTTCTAGGGGCACGCATAACTGCCCCGCGCCGCTGCATTCTTCATGGACTGAAGCTTCCAGATACTCTTCAAGGGCAGCCCCACGTAGGGCGCATTACAATAGTCCATCTTGGAGGTGACCAGGGCATGAGTGACTGTGAGCAGAGCCCTCCAATCTAGGAATTGGCACAACTGGCACACAACACAAAGCTGTGCGAAGGCCCTTCTAGCCACAACTGCCACCTGCTCTTCAAGCAGGAGTTGTGAGTCTAGAAGAACCCCCAAGTTGTGCATGAGGTCTGTTTGAGGCAGTGCCACCCCATCCAGCACCAAAGATGGCATAGTCCCAGAAATGGAAGGCCCCAAAACCCAAAGCCACTCAGTCTTGCCAGGGTTCAGTTGAAGCCTGTTGTGCCCCATCTGGATCCCTACAGCCTCCAGGCACTGGAATAAGATATCAACAGCATCGCTTAATTCACCAGGGGCAGAGATGTATAATGGGGTATCATCAGCATATTGATGATACCTCACCCCATGGCAGCAGATGAGCTCACCCAGCAGCTTCATGTAGATGATGGAGAGGAGAGAGCACCAAACCCTGCAGCATCCCACATAGTAGGGGCAGAGGGCAGGATCTCTCCCCCCCAATCTCCTCCAACTGTGATTGTCTCTGGAGAAAGGAGGCGAGCCAGCAGAATACATTGCACCCACCCCCAATCCCCAGAGCCGGTCAAGAAGAATACCATGGCCGATGGTATCAAAGGCTGCTGAGAGGTCAAGCAGAGCAAGGATGGTTGCACAGCCCCCATCCCACTCCCACCAGAGATAATCTAAAAATGCAACCAATGCTGCCTGAATCGTGACTGAAAGGGATCCAGATAATCTGCTTCATCCAGGGTTCCCTGAAGCTGCTGCATGACCACCTTCTCAACCACCTTCCCCAAAAATGGGAAGTTAGATACTAGATGAAAGTGGCCAACAAGTGGTCCAACAATGGCTTCTTGAGGAGGGGTGAACCTTAAGAAGCGAAGGAACAACTCCCTCCCTCAAGGAAGAATTCACCACCACTAGAACCCACTTACGCAACACTCCCGGACTGCTTTAATGAGCCAGGAGGGGCGTGGATCTACAGAGCAGGTGCTGAGCTCACAGCCATAAGCGCCCTGTCCACTTCCTTAGGCCCAACAGGCTCAAGCTGTTCCCAGGTAACAGGGCAAGGCTCCTCCTCAGGCATCTACCTCGGACCTGCAACAAGCCTGAAGTCCACCTGAGAGCGAATTCCAGTGACTTTGTCTGACAGATGTTGAGCAAATTCTGCTGCAGACCCTGCAAGGGGATCTACAGGCACCCTCTACCCAAAAGGGCACGTGTCACCAGAAACAGGGCTGCAGGATGGCCATCTACAGACGCGATAAGGGTGGAGATGTATTGTCGCTTCACGCCCTTAATGCCACAAGGTGGGCCAACCCTTTGTGGCATTCATATTATAGTTTAATTCCCAAAGCCACTTGGGTAGCTCTTCCTTTCTCCCCTGCCCCCCACACTTCCCCCATTCTCTCTTGCTATGGTCTCCTAAGTTGCTTCCCTCTTGCCTACCCCTGTGGTTCCTATTCCCTCTCACTTCTGTTGCTACCTTTCTTTAACTTCTAGAGAAATCAAGAAATTATCATGGGTTCAGACAGAAAGAGATTGAAAATATTGCAAAGTTGTTCATGTTTCTCTTGTAAAATAATAAAACTGGATGGGGTGATGGAAGTTGGGCCATACAGCTGAAAGCCCCAAGACCCACATATGCTACAGCAGAACCCACATGTTCTCCAGCCAGCTGGCCTTCAGTCTCATTAAAGAACCGCACACTGGTCCCTCTCCTCCTGAGGTATCCTGTGAGGCTTCCATGGTAGCATCACTACCCCATTTCAGGAGCATTTCCTTGAGAACCTGGTGCCCTGTCGATCATGTCCTTCCTCAGTGGACACTCTTGCAAGACCTTCCATTGTGTGCACGTTAAAAAAAAAAAGCTCTGTGCATATATATCTCTTATACATTTTGACTTTTTAAGTTTAATTTTACCTGGGTAATTTATAAAGTTTCTTTTATATTGCAGGCCCTGGATATGTAATAATTGATTTGCTGGGACAGACCAAAGTTCATCCTACCCAGTTGTCTCCACCAGCAGATGGTGGGCCGAATTCTGGGTTCTCCCAAACCCAGTATTTTCCAGTTATTTGTCTTCACATGTCAGGTCTTGAGAAGTCTGTTGAATTTATAGATGGAGGTTCTGTGTAGCAGTCGTGGTTGATAATCTTTGATTGGGCTCTTTCACTAGGTTAGTGAAACAAATAACACTGAAATTGGGCTGATATAACTGCAGAACAAGAACTTTGTATTTTACAATTCTAAAAGGTTATCCGTGTTTTTAGTTATACCAAAACATTTCAGTCCTGTCCTGTAATCCTCTCTTTTGTTCTAGCCGTTAGATATCAACTCCAAATGTTCCATTCTGTGTTATGCTCAGATTTGTAATCTTCCCTAGAGCATAATATTTAAGTCAAGAATTATCAGGCTACTTATAGAGAAGAATTTTGTCCCTTGATTGTGTTCCAGGGAAATGTTTTCAATTCCATCTCTTGCCAGACACATGATGTGGATCATGCTAAGCATTTTTCCCAAGCCTCCTTGAGCCCCCTCCCCCCTCCTTGCCATAATAAACTAATTTGCACTAGTGGTGGTGGGGAATTTGGCAGAGGTCTGCAGATGAAGGGTCTCCCACAACAGGGAATATGGACAAAATAGCACGCAGAGCATTCCTTCATGTAATTCAATCCAAGCAGAATTGTTTGCAATACCTCCTTGCACCACTGCAGTTTTGACAGTTCAGCTAAACATTTTTTAAAGGAAACCCAGGGGAGAGCCAGGAAATTATGGGCTGGTCAGCTGAACGCCTGTTCCAAGCAGATTGATAGAAATGGTGATCAAAGAAAAAAGAAGCCATGGAAGGAAACTGGCATGGCTTCCGTGAAAGAAAACCCTGCCTCGCCAAACGTCTGGAGTTTTCTGAGGGTGCCAACAGGCACATGACGGAGGCTGCCCACTTGACTTTGAATGCCTGAATGTTCGGAAAGCCTTTGATGAAGTTTGCCACCAGGATTTACAGTCATGGGGAAAGAGCCCTGTCCTTTTAATGGGTTGCTAATTGGTTAAGAACCAGAAAGGAAACATCAGGAATAAGTGTGCAATTTTCTGCTCGGAGGGACTGCTGCTTTTTAACTTGCTCATAATGATCCAGACTTGGGGTAAGAAATGAGCTGACCAAGTCTGGGGATGATACAAACTATTCAGACAGTGAAAAGCAATGGTGATTAAGAAGAACTCCAGAAGTATCTCTTAAACTGAGTCAATGTTCAACCAAATGGCAAATGTGGTTCAATTTAAGTAAACATAAAATGATGAACATTGGGACAGAAAACCCTAACATCGCATGTGCTCTGATGGGATCTGAGTTGTCTATAATTAACCAAATATTGAGGTCATAGTAGGGAGCTCAGTGGCAATATTGGGCAGTTTCCTTTGGCATCTACTAAAAAAAGAAATTCTGTGCTAGATATCATTAGGAAAGGCATTGAAAATAAAGCTTCCAGCTCTGTAATGCCCTGATACAAATTCTCATGTGAAACATTGCATACAGTTCTGATCATCACACGTGAAAAAGGAATATTATGATAGCGCAGGGAAAACTGCAGAAGAAGACAATAAAAATGGCCATCAAGTTCAAACTTCTTCCATACAAGAAATGTTGAGAATGGTCAACTCTGTAGCTTAGGAAAATGGTGACTAAGGAGGAGCATGGCCAAGGTGTATAAAATCAAATCTGGCACAGACATTTTTCCCCCACTCTCCACAGACGAGGATCAGGGTTCATCCAATGGGCCTGATTGGAAGGAGTTTTGGACATCACAATGGAAGCTCCCTCACCCTGCATAACTGACCCGTGAAATTCATTGCCATAAAACCTGGGAATGGCCACTAACTTGGCTGGCTTTAAAAGGGATTTGGGGAGGAGCTCACCGAGAGCAGAATTATTGAGGGCTGTTCACCTGGAGACTCAAAGTTTGCTTCTGGGCTAGGAGCACCGTGCCTCCAGGGGAATGGCTGCAAAGGAAGGGGGCGTCTCTCGCTCCTCCTTGGAAGCACCCAGAAGCATCTGGCTGGCCAAATGCTGGAGTCCAGCAGGGCTAATCTTAGGTTCTTACCCTATTATCTCTCTTTGAAAGCTGGCTGCGATGTAGGATAGCTGAGGTGAATCAGCCGAGATGTTAACTGGATGTTCCTGGCTTTCAGTTTGTG